GCTCACACACACACACACACACACACACACACACACACACACACACACACACACACACACACACACACACACACACACACACACACACACACACACACACACACACACACACACACACACACACACACACACACACACACACACACACACACACACACACTCACTCACAAACACATGCATGAGTCTTGCGGGAGTTGAACCAATAACCTGCTGGTAATTAGTCTGTCTCCTCAGCTGCCAGCGTCTGTTAACCTCCACGACCCGTTGATACTGAGCTAACGAGAATGTCAGTAACGCGTCTTAATGCACACCCCCCCCACACACAACCACACACCCAAACACACACACAAACACACGCACATATAGAACTCCCTTCGATCCCCATTTGTTTTCACACAGCCAAAAACAGAGACTCACTTCCTCCCTCTGAGTTTGACATGTGTAACCTCTCGTCGCTTTATAATTCAGAGGGAGTGGACTCATGTTCTATATCTCTCCTTCCCTGCAGTTGTATTAATATATCATAAGTGCCTTTTATAAATATATTATACAAGTACCTATTAATATATAAAGGCCACTAGCAGTAGCCACTGTTCTCTCACTGTGGCTGTAATGAGGCAGTGAGGGTCAGAGCGGGGGATAAGCTTCTGTGTGTGGTCTCTTTTTATCCGAGCATCAGGAATGCCTGCTCATACCCAACACACAAGGGGACATGTCTGGAATGTTTTCACCCAAACCACATGAAAAAATGCATGCACATAAACACGCTGTACATTCTATACTTGAAGACTAACGAGATGCGCTGCATGTATTTCATAGCAGATGTGACCTTACAATTCTATTATTACTGTCTAATAATAACTCACAATTGCACCCCACTTTCTTACACCTTACAGTTTTAATGATAGAGACCTGTATTTGGTTTACAGGGGGTCTGACAGGCTTTTATTTGAAACAACCAGTAATTTGATCAGATGACTGCTGAGAAATACAGAAACTAGTACTTTATGTTTGACAATGTACAGCATTACCTATTTGCGGCCTCTCCTGGATTACACCCAGCATAGTCAATATTGTTTTTTCTATAATGCTTAACTCCAGAGCAATCCTTGTTTGTCAATCATATCTGAGATTTCAATCAGCCATAGAGCTAGCTATGGATTGGTTTGTTTTCCCACTTGATTGCAGCACAACAAGTCAAAGTCGTTATTGTGCTTTATCTCTTAATCAAGAAAACAATTCTAGCTGTTTGGATCAATGCCTGTTCTGTATTTATCTGCATTTGTTATACCACATAAATATTGTGAAAATCACAATTCAGACAATCTGAAGATTATTTTTTGTCAACTGCTTAGAGCAGACAAACTCTTGTGATCCCATTAAAGGAACAGAATATAATGATTTGCTTTCTTTCAAATACTCTATCTTAAAAAAAAACAGGAGACAGGTGCTGTGTCTCAATTTGATTTCTGTTGTACTTACCAGGCTTGGAATTTCGTCATTTTAGTGGCAAGGCCATTTGGCCTTTGGTGTCACAGGTCTTTTTAGGGCACTAAGGCCATTGAGGGAAAAATTAGGATTTGGAGCTTACAAATAAATAACTTCACTTTCTGATAAGAAAAACACACGAATGACATGGAAAACAAATCACTTTTTTTTTATCAATAATGTCAAACATTATATCATCATATAGGCCTATGCCTCCTTAGTATTGCAGTATATAAAATGAAATACCAATTCATATTAATAATTAGTGTTTGGTATGTTTGGTGAAATCAAATCATAAAATCTATTAATACGTAACAAATATATTCAATTTCAGAGCAGAAGTAACAGCCTTCAAGGGTCAATCTCTGCACAGAAATCATTCAGCAGTGCACAGTGAAGCTCAAACATTCAACTGTACGAACAAGTAATACTTTGAAATGCAAACGTCTGTGTGTGTGTGTGTGTGCGTGCGTGTGTGTGTGTGTGTGTGCGTGTGTGCGTGCGTGTGTGTGTGTGTGTGTGTGTGTGTGTACGAGAGTCTCTTTAATACATTTTTTCAACTCGAGGGTCAAATTCGCGTGACGCGTTCTCGTGGTAGCCAATCAGCGGAGAGGATCTCAGCCTGCTGTTACTGACGTTGAATCAGAAAACATCAGCCGTTAGCTGTTAGCACACAGAGCTCACAGCAGCTCATATCTGTTCAGAAACTGGACAAAAGTTAAACATGAAGAAAACACAGTATGTCTGTGTCATGGCGAATACAGTCGCTGTTGTATCTGCGTCTGTATCATGTTGTTGTGAGTTTGGACGGAGCAGCTACGTTAGTTTAGCCTGATCGATCCGATCTCCATTCAGAAAACACGCATTTTAAAAGGTTTTTCGCCTGCCGTCTTGTCTGCAGACGTGTCAAAGCATTAATTCATGGTTTTTATTAACCGTTATCAGTATGTTGTTACTTCGGCATCATTTTGAAACGTGTATTACAATTAAATCACGGTAAAATATGTTCATTTTGTTGTAGTTACATGGAGATAAGCCCCGCCCCCTCTCCAGCGCGTCCTGTTCGAATGACAGGAGTAAACACAGCTGACAGCCGCGGTGAGACTAGAGCGATTAGAGCGTCCGGTGTGAACGCAGCATAATGCAGTTCAGAGACCAGACCACTGCTCTGACGCTTTTAAAGCAACTTCGCGATTTTAACAGTGTGAGGAGCACAAAGGCCATGGTGGCCGTAGGACGTACAATTATTTTCGGGGCTTAATGGCCAGACCGAGGGGCAACGAGGGCCGCGTTGGCCGTCATGGCCACCGTGAAAATCCTACCCTGGTACTTACGCTCGCTACTTTGAGTGCATAAGTGCATTTCCAATGAAAAGTAGAGCAAAATAAAGTGCACTATTAGTACATCAAGTAAGCAAACAAGCCAGCAGATATGGCAAGCCACAAATATTGGTCAATGCTGGAGGTAATACCAAGTGCCATTTGGCATAAAAAAAAAAGAAGAAGCAGTCAAATGTTCAGAACGTCATTTCTTTTTGACAGACTTTGCAGGCACAGATTAAACACAGTTTAGTACATGGATGTGTCCTGACGTAAGTATTACAATTGAGACTAAACTAGGGGCAAACAGCTAGCCTGGGTCTGTTAGAAATAAGGCTGACGTGGTCAATGATTTCGGCAAAATTTGAACTCACATGACTTCGAGGCGTGCAGACTGAGAATCGTTGCCAGCCCGTGATTTCACAGTGCAGGTGTAGTCCCCAATGTCACCTGACCACGTCTGGCCAATAGTGAGGGAACCCTGCCGCATGGAGACACGCCCCCCGCTGCTGGGACGAACCAGCACGCCCCCACGCTCCCAGCTGAAGCTGCAACAGAGGAGGAATACATGTACTTTATACTGTGGTTATCTACAGACACACAATGAGCCTAAAACAGAGAGAGAAGCAAACACTGTGGAGTATAAGAGTATTCCTGTGAGTGACCACACACACAGAGAGGCAGGTACCTGATATTGACTCTGGGGTCATGTGTAGCAGTACAGACCAGAAGAGCAGTGGTTCCTTTGATAACTCGTTGGTCGGTTGGAGGCACAGAAATGACTGTGCGGCCTGCAAAACATAAAATAAAAGATTAAGAAAAATCAAGATAAGAGAGAATCTGGAGGACGAGCGGTGACAAAGGTGGGATGGATAATAAAAGGCAGAAATAAAATGTGTTTAATACTCTGCTCTAATGGCATGAAATACCGTATCATCTAAAATGTGTTGTTTTAGTGTATGCTGCAAGAAAGTAATACGAAATCAATTAGTAAAGATTTTAGCCCTGAACTATTGAAGTTAAACAGCACTAAAGCTTTTTCTCTCACTCTTTCAAACACAGTAGAGACATACCGTGAAAACTACTTAGTCTACCATTGTTTTTGTGCTTTGTTCAACTCAAGTCTTTCACATGTTTTATAATCTCAAGAGAAAAAGTATAAATTGGATGCAGTGTGGAGTGTGTTTGATCAGTAACTCAGTCCAGGTATATTTGGGATGTGATCAGGCCTCCGATAGATGAGTATAGTTTTTATACACCACAGTGCTCAACAGAGGAATGTGGTTAATCTAATTCAATAGCATTTAATCTGAAGCTGCCAAGACATATATACAAAAAATCAATAACATTACCAGCTAATCCATCATCCTCTAACCTGGCCAATCAGATGATTACTTCACCATTACACCAGCCCACTGCATCAATAAACAATCACACCGCTGTTCACCCACCTGAGCTAATGCCATTTGACAGCCTCGGATAAATTAACTGTTCCATGTCTGTTTTAGTCTGTTTAGCAAATGTGTATTGAGCAGTTTAGTGTATTTTTGTTTGTGTGTAAATTGTGTGTGTGTTTGTGTCTTACTCCAGACGGTGAGCGAAGAGGTGGAGTTGATGCTTCCCTCAGCGTTGGAGGCTATGCACGTGTAATCTCCTGAATCCTGGAAGCTGATTGGCCGAATCTGCAAACCGCCTGTCTGTAACAGCGTGAACCTGGGAACCTGGACAGAGCCGCTAGCTAAGACCTGAGATCCTACAGAGAGAGAAAACAACAAAATAGCCTTCAGGTGACGAAAAGTAATTAAGTCATTAAGCACATTTTTTAATTACAAACACATCATGTCAGTGCGTCTGTCGGGTGTGTGTGCTCAGTGTGTACTGCAGAGTGTGTGTTCTGTTACCTTTCCTCCAGGTGATGGCAGGTTTTGGAGCTCCGCTCGTCTGGCACATAAACAAAGCCGTGTTTCCATCAGTTACTATTTGGTCAGACGAAGGGAATGTAAACGTGGGGGCCATACCTGAAACATGGGGAGAAAGCATAAGAAGAACGAAGACGGATAGACGGTTACTGAGAAGAGACTGGTGGAAAAAGAGAGGAGTGAAAGTGAAGCATAAAGAGAAAACTGAAGAATGTAAAAAGAGAGAATGACAGTGTTGATATAAACGCAAATGCCTCCTCTGATTAATGGAGCCTTTATTCATTACCTAGTGCTACGTGTGTTTGCATAAATGTGGAAAGTGGTGGTGTGGAAGTTCCATGGGGACTTTTAATTATAACACTCACTAAACAGAGCGTAACTCTAGAGACAAACCGTACGTGCAGAAGTCTGCAGCTGACACGCACTTCAAACCAGGCAGACACTTTCACTTTGATTTAAAAAACAAAATAGTCTTCAGTTTCAGGTAGGGATGTGTTGGCTTGTCATTTTGCCAATACACAGGAGACCAACTTTTCTATTTTCCAGCCCAAACACGGCTCAAACTTAATTTGCAAGGCAAAGCAGTAAACTCATCTCTTCATTGTCAGAATGAAAGGTTATATCAGCTGCAAATACCTTTATGTATGCTCAGGACGAATGTGGAGCGATACGGCAATAACAATACAGCTGAAATAGTTGTTGGTTAGCTGAAAGTTAAATAAATAAAATAAATAAATGAAAGCCTTTTTTCTTCGTTTTCTGAAATAAACGGATAATAAATCAAATAATCTGGAGACTTGCTGAAGGTAAAACAATATTAAAGTTGCAGAAACGATATACGAGACAAAACAATTGACAGACAAATAAAGGAGACACAATGGAAGTACAATAGAGGAGTACATTCTGACACATGAGAAAGCAAGTTGA